GATGATGGAAAAGTGGGAGTACTCTTGCTCCACTGATTTAGTGTTATTTACTACACTGAATATGACACAAGACGTGTCAGTAAAAAAACTCACGGGTACAGCTTTTACACTCCTTTCTTTGAGGAATAGAAATTTAAACAACTATTTGCAGGAATGGGGGTTGACTTTCTAAGGATGCTTCACCAATCAGACTGTCCTGTTTCCATATGTTGACTCCAATATTCTCAGTCAAACAAAGATACAAATCAATACTGCAAACAGAAAAGACTACCCAGATACAAAACTCTTCTTCCTAGATATAAAAAACTGATAGTTGTCAACACCAATATAAGCAATCTCATCACGACCATCTTCCTGGCACGGTCATGAGAGGAAAAACTCACTTTGTCCTCCCCACAACTCGTTCCATCCACAGCCCCATCCAGCTTTGAGTGGCAGGTTGTTCCCACAGTGCACCACAGAGTGCTGCATACATTCTGGAAGAGCAAATACAGATTAATATCTCACACCCACAGCACTTTGTTTTGCTTGTACATCACACAAGTATATACTGTATAAAAATAGTGGACAGGCCTAAGTATTGCATTTTACTGAAAATGTTGCATGTAAGAATGTTGATTAATTTTCACATTGCCTTGCAGATAATACGTGTTTGATGCTTTTCTATGACTAACTGGAGTTGATAGCATCTTATCTTATATGCCAAATATCCATATTTTTAACTGTAGTTCAAAATAATATTATTAATAACAATAGATGACGCCTACAGCCACTCATAAAGCCTAACGTTTGCTCTTGCTCTGAGTGATAAGATGTGTCCTCTCTTCAGACACGGCAGATCAGATAAGGATTACCGGCTGCAGCTATCCAGCAGGGATGTCTGATATCGACTTCTTCTAGAAATGGACCACAGTGCCTTATATGAATGGATTTCTATTCTTTCACTCTGTCATCCATTATGCATCATATACTTCTGAATGACTTTTATGGTTTAAAAAAAATACATTTTATGAAATATGTATTTAATTTTTTTTTTTTTTTTTAAGTTACAAATTTACAATACCATTACTGAGAGTTAACCTGATGTCCATGTCCTGACTTTGTCTAAAAAAACCCCCAAAAAATAAAACTATAATTGACTTATTAAAATATGTTTGTTTGCCTGGTCCAAAAACTAGGAACTCTTAATCAGGCGGCTCGGCCAAGCAATCCTCAGAACTCCAATGATGATCAGATATAAAAATCAATGAGCCTTAGAAATATCTGGCTGATCAACCCTGATTTCAGCTAAGCTGAACATCCCCTATAGCGACAGCATCATATTTCCTGTACAAACATGTTCAGCTTCAGCCTCTGACAAGTGAGTGTATTCCCCAGAATTATTAACTCTTCTGTAATGCTGGTCATGCTGTATGCTCTGATTGACAGTGTGAAAGGAACTCTGACCTGCAAAAAAACCCAAAACCTCAA